GCTGAAGTCATCTCTTTGGATCGCAGTTTCGCACGGCTTAGTGTTTTCAGTTCATTCACACGTGGTACTGATCTTGAACTTTAACCTACGTATGACATAATTGAGATCTTTTGTATTATAAAAGAGGAAATTACAAGACCTAATCTTTTTATCATTAAAATTCTATTATGCCATCTTACTATAAACTTTTTTTTATCAAGATAACCCTGATTATTCATGGATTTCTGACACTAACATCTGTGTAAAAAAACAAATGGCCATCCCTGTTATTATCTTTTACAACACAGAGATAACTATTATGTTTTAAAACGGAGATTTGGGACGGTAGCCCACGGTAAATTGTGTGAGTGGAGGACGGTTTACGAAAAATTCTGAATGTCCGGCGCCTAATATGTTTAATATTTGTGTTTTAACAATTACTAGAAATCAGTAAAGTTTAGCGAAATTGCAAAACGTTTAGACACAAACTGAAATCACAAAATTACAGTGTTTATGTAAATATTTTGGTAGAGTTTAGATGTAATGCTGTGAGTATAATTATGTTAAGTCTCAAGAGACGTTACGTTTGTTCGTACAAGCCCAGTCTTCGTGACAACTTGCACGGTTACAAAGTGCTTACGTTAATTAACTCCGAGGTGAGTAATGAAGTGGAAGGCAAGGAGCCAACACTTAATTTAGCGAGACATTTTAACTTAAACGCTGGATGTTCTTAACGTTATCACGCTCTCTTGCAAGGTTTATAAAAGAACGCGAAAAACGTGTGATGTAATTTTATACGGTTAATTTATTTTGTTAAATTGCTTAAAAGAAAAATGAATATAATGCATCAATATATACAAAAATCGACATATAACAAGGTCCAATAGCAGTCTTTTCATCATAATGTTGGCATTAGCATCGTGAATGCGGCAAAGTAGAGCCGGTTCATGACACAGACACTGGTTATGGTGGATTAGGGTCAACTCTGTCTTGCGTCCGTTTCCTTTAGTGTCAATCGATACCAAGGCTTAGATAAAACAATTGTTTATATGGAAACTTGGATATATATACTGTTTGTTAAACAATTTACAATTGCAGATATGCCTTCTTAAGAGTTAAGTATAATTTCTTTAGTAGTTTTTATTTGCAGCAAATTAGCGAGGTCTTTCTTTTATTTTTTAACAGTCCACATTGGACCTTCATTAAAATTCATTGAATTAAAGAGGTAATGAATATTGCCCTTAAATGTAACAAAGCGTATCGAATGTACAGAATAAATAAAATTAAGGTAATTTACTTAAACCAATTAAGATTCTCTACCTACAATTGCTGCGTATATTTTTAAATGGTAAAGAGAAAATTATAGCCCAAAGTAAAAACTTGCTAAGCCGTAAAGCTTGTTAAAACACCTTATTTTCGCATGCAAATAACATCGTTGCAGGATTAGCACGCTGTTTTATATTTCTCTACAATGTTAAGTCGCTTGCAAAAATTTTCAACCGTAGTATGTCGTTTTATTTAATACTTAAAATTATGTTGACAACTTTAACTTTGTTTTTATTATTATTGTATGTGGTAACTGTAAATGTCGTATTTTTTGTGAGTTCGCACTGATGAAACATTAACAAAACACGTTGTGATTCCTTTAAAAATTGACATCATAATAAAAACTTTTTAGACAAAGAGCATTCGCTCCGAAACGATTCCATAAGGAACTTAAAAAATGTATAGAGATCACAATAACTTTCGTTAAGTCACGTGATTGTTACGCGTCAGTTCTATACATTTTTGATGTTTGCTATATAGTCACTTCGTAGCGAATGGACTTTGTTTAGCATTCCTTTTTAGTTTTTATTAAAAAGAAAGGATAAAAAGACGCCGTATTATTATGCCTACCTCTTTTCGGACTATAGGCATGCACATGTAACAAATGGAGTCTGTATTTACGTAAGACTCGGTAATTCTGTGTGTTAACTGTGGTGAGGATTGTAGCGGACTTACGAAACACCCGATCATCGCTGTTGTGCGTGTGCGCATTGCCCTGGTTTCGTTTTTACTGCAAATATTTTGAACGTTAGATGCTAAAAAAAGGTTTGGTTGAACTGAATTTTAAAGGTTAGGAAAACTTAACATATTTATGTTTGAATATTTATCTCCTAAAGTCGTACCGTTAATGTTCAATAACATATTGACAGCTTTGAGTTGAAATTTAAAGTTAATACTTTCGTGCTAATACGTTGGTCTCGATTTTTAGTCCTTTTAAATCGTACTAAGCGAGGTCATGTTATACGGTATGTAAAAAAAATCTGTTCTGGAATTACGAAATAAACATCCATTCAGTCATCTACCTAAACTATCACATCGTACGAATATTATAAATGCGAATGTTAAGATGGATAGATAGATGGATGGATATTTGTTTGTAGTTATCTCCAGAACGGTTAAACGGATTTTAAGAAAATTTTACACACTTGTAGAACATAGTCTGGAATAACACATGGCTACTTATAAAGTTTTTTTTAATTCCGTACGGACGGAGTCGCGGGCGACAGCTAGTTAATATTAAAACTGTCGTTTCGCACTATAACTACTAGCAACATCCATAGTTTTTAGCTTTTTATTTTATATAACAAACGAAGCACTCAGCTTATCCAGAAGGCCGTTCCCCGTGTGGTCATAAAAATGTCTCTCAAGAAAATAGCTTTGTAATGCTATGGTTATTCGACATAGAAGTCTTTTATGACACGATGGGTTGAGAATAAGCTTGTAAAAGGCGTCAAATACCACTTGACATTATAGCATTTGTACGGATATAATATGTTCACGTTTTGAATTACCGTTCATAGCTCAGGTTGCAAATTGTACGCATTTATTTCCGATAATGTTTTCCAATGTTTTGTACGTAAGCTTACGAAATTTAACATTGACTTTTATCGATTTTTATGATGTATATTACAAGAATCGATTTTATTGTCATATCTCACGTGATACATGCAAATTTTATTTGAAGCACGAAACAATATAATTTTGATTTATTTAACATTGGCGGGATAATGACTGACAGATTATTTATCTTTAATCTTCACAACATTATCATATTAAAAAAAAACACAATCTTATATTATTGACTAGCTGTCGCCCGCGACTCCGTCCGCGCGGGATTAAAAATAGATGTTGGCCGATTCTCAGACCTACACAATACGCTCACAAAATTTCATGAGAATCGGTCAAGCCGTTTCGGAGGAGTATGGGAACGACAATTGTGACACGAGAATTTTATATATAATAAGATTAATGATGACTTGACATACAAAATTTTGAAAATAAATTAACAAAATTTTCTGAATTGCTTTATGATAAGTAAGCTATAACAATGGATATTAAATCTAACAATATCGTTTACTAAATATAGTATGTAATTAGTCTGATAAATCGGGTACAGTCCGCTGGCGCGTACGTTCCGCATAACTTAATTGGAAACTACTTTCAGTAGTACTATCGGGCGTTCGTCAGCTTCATAACATATAGAAAGTATACGTACTTTAATTAATAACATTAATTGTTCTTATATTTAAATATTTTTATCAACGAAATATTATAATTTTGTGCAAGTGTGCGCTCTTACTTTTTAATTATTATTAGAAAGGTTACGTGTGTACTTACTTAAGAGTTTTCAAACATTCTAAATTTAAAATTAAACTTATAAGATTAGCGTTTGCTAGCCACTTCATCTGCCCGGAATTAAAAAAAGTTAATAAGTAGACTATGTGTTCTTCCAGACTATGTTCCACATCTATACCAAATTTTATCGAGAACCGTTGAGCTTTTCTGGAAATATCTTCTAATAAGCATCCATCTATCTTAAATTTCGCATTTTATAATATTAGCAAGATTAAATTAAAGTTAATAAGACAATAGTCTCTTTATTAACATCTTATTTAATTTATGATGTAAACATTTTTTTCAAAAGCATAACAATTTGCGTATAAGCTATACTTATAACGTAACTTCATTATACAAAATTACGGAATACCAGAAGTATGTTAATCGAAAAATGCATACATCGATTTAAATTAACGCATCCAAATACGTTACGTAACCTCAGCAAAGCCAATTCTGTTTTTAAGATATTCTTTGCTGAGACGTTTATAAGAAAAAATAGTGTTGTCTCTGTCAATCTTTCTGTGCAAAACCGAGACAACAATACTTTTGATGTATAGCCAGTTTAAATATATGGTTACCTAATTTACGCACACATAGCTCTTTACTAATGTGTGTGTTAACATACATTTTGTTTTAATTTTGTTTAGATCTTTATCTTATGTTATTTTAGAAAAAACGAATTTATACGACTTTCGTTTTACTTTGGCTTTTTTATTCTTCGCAAACATTTTTAATTTCGCCATCACTATAAAGAAATAAGAAAAAGAGGATATTAGACGAGTTATTAACCGCGATTCTTTATTTTGATTCGCGTAAGATTTATATTTAGATTAAAATACGGTAATGACGGTGCAATTGTTGGGGCTTGAGGAGTGAAAATGTACCAAATAAGTTGTTTATTTAGTTAAAGTCACTAGTACACTTTCATTTTTTGGAGAATATTAAATTCTATTTTATTAATTTCAAAAAACATAACGCGCCTCTTTTGAAACGGAAAACTGCGTTGTTTATTATTTCAGTCCGTGTCATTGACCTGCTTCATCCGGGGTGTCATCGTTATGTGATTTAATTACATATTTACATATCCGGTGATTCTTAAAAATAGATATCCTGTGGAACCGCACGGAATTAGGAAAGTTAGTTTTTAAATTTCCATTGAATATAAGAATTTTGATTATAATTTTTTTAACATTTATCATTTGTAGTTAGTTGTTTTTTTGGAAATAAAAAAAATACTATATAGTTAAATGATTTTCATCGTGCTTTTAGTTTTTCAAAACGATCTTATTTGTTTTACCTTACCTATTTATAAAATAGTACAGTTTCCGGTTTATTTATACTTCAGTAAGAAAACTCACCTAAAACCAGTTTGAAATCCATATAAATTAAGATCGTTTGACTACAAGTTGCGATTTGCTTGGCACAATAAAACTCTATATATAATTTTCCAGTTAAATTTCCACACTTGCACACACAAACCACATGTAGGCCGATCAGTGACTGCCGCCGCAAGAAATCATTCTGTTAAACATGCAAATCCACACAGGGAATGCGAGTGAAAATGCTCCGAGATATATTTACATAAATCTTCACGGCATAAAGAGTATCGATATGGAATAGTCGATAAAGATCGGAACATCACTAATTGGTAATTCGATCGGAAAAATATACGATATTCCCGTACAATGAAACCGTTTTGTTAGCAGACTTCATTTATGAAAAATTGCTAGAATATAGTAATAAATATTGAAATATAAATAGTAACTGATACTAGCTTTCATACATAATGTTGGTTTAAAACGCGATGTGTTTATATGCGGATGTGATGTACTAACAAATAGATGGACATTCGTATGTAAATTTTACATATTTAACGGTATGCATGGTAAAGAGGTTTTTGTTCAATTTCGTACAGAAAGTTTCGATTGAATAAGAGTCAATCAATATTCATGTTGCGTTTCCTTTACAACATTAGAAATTGTTTTAAGTTTTTAAATTTATTTAAAATTGGTAAAATAATTGTATACACTTAAACTATTGTATAATTTGTATAAGTAAAATTATAAGTCGCTATATAAAAACATGCGTCTACTTACTTTAAAAACAATCCAAATCTTTATGAATTTTAATTCCAAATGTGTACACAAATCCAGAACAATTTCCAATAAATATTCAATGAAAACACAATAACACTTCCTAATCAAAATAAACAAGATAATTGAGTTAAATGATTTTGAATCGCTACCGTTTTCGCGAAGACGGTGCGTTACGACGTAGGATACGTCCGAACTCTCGTACGTCTACTTTCGAACTGAGGCATGGTAAAGGCAAGAATCGAGTCGAGATTGTCCGGTATGGGTATCGCGAAGCATCTTTTGATACATCGTATGCATTGCTTGGAATGCAGCGCCACAACCTCCTCTGCTTTATTTTTCCCTTCACAAGAACTGGAATACTGGATAATAAGAACAGTCTGGAATATTTTATGTCTTGAAAGACATAGCTAAAAGAAAAGGTTATTCTAATCGAATTTGTAATATTACCTCAAATTTCTAAGCAACAGTAACTCTTAAAAGTTAAAAATATATTTAACAATATTAAACACCTGACAGATTAAAAATACATGTTCACTTATTCTTAAATTTTTGAATCAAGTTAAAGATTTACACCGTTGAGAATATCCACTTATCTTAATTTAAATGTAATCAATTTGTTAGTAATAATTATATTAATAATTATAGCTCTCGACCTCGAAAAACAATTCTGATATCACGAAAGAGAACTTTTTTTTTAAAAGGTTTTTGAAGATATTAAAAAGAAAAATACTTTCTAAATAGCATATGATACTATTTAAGCTGCTTAGCTTCGAAACATTGGTTCGTTTGCCTTATTGTAAATAAAAAAAACTAGTCCAAGGAATGTTTTAAATCATAAAACGTATTGCTTGCGCACGATCAACAAAGTGCTATAATTTGAGCAAGACTCATTATGCGGCCTTACACAACGTGTGTCAGCTAAACTCTGTAATAAAAGCGAGAGTCGAAGCCTTTTCTTTTGCCATAATCTTTTAAAAACACTTTTAATCTTTTACGGAGCTTACGAGCGAATAAGAACTGGACGCCGTAATACGCTACTCAAAATATTACTTTCAAAAAAGGATATGAGTTTAAAATGGGAAAGTTTAAAACAATTCTCTTGTTTTCACTTCCAGGACGTGATAATTTCGACTCAAATAAATTATAATATTTCAAAACAAAATTAAGTATATCTAAAAATAATCTTACTTGTTTAAAAATATCTTGAGAGCCGCTGTGTGGTTCTCTCTGAAATTTGGCATAGACGGAGAAACACATAGGCTGCTAATTAAGTTTTTTTTTAATACGCGCGGACAAGGTCGCGGGCGACAGCTAGTTAAAATACAAATGTGAAATGAAAAATAGCGTAAAATTAATGTATATGTACTTGTTTTTTACTTTATTGAAATATTAATTTTAAGTCGCTATTTCCTCTAAAAGCAATTATTTAAATGAGCAAATGTTTAAAATGCTTAAAATAATAAACAATTAGTGAATGTTGGCCTGTAATTATATTGGATTTGTCAGCGTTATATGTGTAAGTTACCTTCCGTGTTTACATAACTGCCGTATTAGAAAGTCACTTGATGCATTTACTTTATAAGTCGTTTCCTTAATTTTGCTTAACTAGTTTTTTTCACTCGGCATACATTACTTATCGTTTGACAAAACTATTCTACAGATATATTAACACTAGCTGTCGCCCGCGACTCCGTCTGCGCGGAATTAAAAAAATCTTAATGAGTAGCCTATGTGTTCTTTCGGACTATGTTCTACATTTGTGCTAAATTTCAGATATATGGATGCAGCTGTTCCGAAGATACCTTCAAACAAACATTCATCCATCTAAACATTCGCATTTATAATATTCGTATGCTAAACTACAATTTAATGTTGATATTTTATGCTTATTGTAAGTAATTTTGTCATTAATTTCCTGAAATACTTTTACAAAAATATTATTATCCTTCTTTACCGCTGTTCAATGAAAATAAAAACTATGGAAAAGAGGTTAAAAGAAGCATCGCCTTTTTACATAGAATATGTATAAAAGACTATATAATTATTTTACATATTAATGAAGAAATATTCATAAAGTTATTAAATAAAATAGTTATTTTTAATTCAATCAGTAGTCTTTCATGCAAAACTGTTAACGTTAGCGTTATTCCAATACGGGGCCCGTTAGTTCGTGTCTTCGGCGTACACCATGCAAATCGTGTGTTGATAATATTTATAACATAAGCACGATGTTCGCGGTCTAATAGATAAGGTTATGTGGAACATATTACTATTAGAATTGAAAACTTTGTAATACAATTTTGTCAAAATTGAAATTAGAAATGTTAAATTTGAGATACCTAACCAGTCATTTTTGAACACAATCAGTACTACTAATATTATAAATGCAAATGTTTAGAGGGATGGATGGATGTTTGTTTGTTGGTATATCCGAAACGACTCTACGTAATCTCTACTCTCATGATGAAATTTGACACAGATGAAGAAAATAATGTGGAAAAACACATAGGCTACTTATTTTTTTTTGTAGTCCCGTACGGACGTTGTCGCCGACGACAGCTACTTTTAATAAAGACAAAATACCATACTCCTGTAGCAATTACAAAATACGATTTTAAGCTGGAATAACTTCGTGTGGCTTTTGATTGACGGCTCGTTTTACAAAGTGTAACAAATTGAAACGTTAGTCAGCCATTTTTCCAAACAAATGCGTCGTCATTTTTTTGTTAAAACCGCTTACAAAATGCTAGAGTAAATTGTGAAAATATATATGGGCCTTAGTTCGCGTGGAAAACAAAAGCTAAACTGAATTCGACGTATGTTAAATTCTTTTTTATTGGAAATAAAACTTCAAAATAATGCTTAAACATCTCTCTATTGAAATTGCTGCCTAATTAAAGACCTGAGTATAAACTTACTATAATATAGTGTGATAAACTTATTTGACCCGGTGTGCATAATTTATACTAATATATCTGCTCTCTTCGACATATGTGATTATTTGTTTCTTCCTAAATCTTGTTCTAGTAAATAAAAATATTTTTTCTACTTGGCTTGTGTAAGGTACTTGTTTATGCCATTTATATTGTTTGGTATAACAATCTCCCTCAAACAATAGCGTGATAGGCCTATTGTTTGTAAGTTTTAATAATAATTGACGTTCGTTCTGAGACTATATTACATCAACCGACGAAAAACAATCGAGGGAATAGTTTAATCGTTCAGTTTCTGTGGGTTTCCTTTGTTGAAATACTAGTATCGAAACAAATTGTCTTCCTTACCATTGTCTATGAAAAAATTATATACTAGTTGTCACCCACGACTCCGTCTGCGCGTAAAAAGTAACTTAATTAGTAGTTTATGTCTTCTTCTAGACTATGTTCTACATCTATGCCAAATGTAGTTTGCTTTGGAAATACCTTCTAACAAACATCCATCTTCCTATATACCTGTTTATTATAAATGTTTGTATGGATGGGTGTGTGTTTGAAGGTATCTCCGGTTGAAAAAATCTCAATGAAATTTGGCATACTTATAGAACATAGTCTGTTAGAAAACATAGGCTACTTATTAGGTTTTTTTTTTCAATGCAGCGCGGGCAGAGTCGCGGGCGACAGATAGTAATTCAATAAGTAAGTAACAAACTGTTTTTTTTAATACTTTAACGTCACTTTATGTTATATTGTTGCAATTCAAGTACTCCAGTTCTCTTTCACGATTCGGGACAGCTGCCAACTTCCATTCAATTTGCAATACGAATAAATTAAAATCAAACCGCAATTAAAAAACATTTATGTAGTTTTTTTTCATATTTTATAGAATGTTCTTAAGTTTCATTATAATTTTCACAGATTAACGTTAAATATTTTATTGTAGATTAACTTTAAAATTAAATTGTAAATTTAATTATTTAAGGTTACGAAATAGATTTAAATTATACTTTTATGTAAACATTTTGTACAGCAAAATAAGCTGTACAAAAATAAAAAAGGTAAGGCCTGAATTCGTATGATATATAATAAATTCTTAACTAAGAAATCATATAAATTTATTTTTATGAATATATTGTAAGCACTAGTTAAATAATAATAATAATATGCTTAGTTTAATTCTACAAGATTATAAATCAAATAAAAGACATTTAAACGATTTCTCGCTTCTACAATAATACCTTTCTTTCATCAATCATTTTAAATGTTGACTTGCGAGAAATATCTCTGTCCGATGTTTTATTTGCAACCATTAACTTGTTTTGTAAAAACTTTAGACGTAAATTATTAAAGCACTAAAAGTTGCTTTTATTATTTTAACGATTAAAAAAACAAACAGACAATTGGATAATAACTAACATTGAAAGTTAAGCAAAGATTATTAACATTTGGTTGCTTAATTTGAAAGAATTTTTTGTAACACAAAACATACCGTCTTACGACTATTACGACCTTGAAATAAGTGTTAAAATTTTGAATATCGGTAGTTAACGACCAGTTTCTTAATATAGCTTAGGATCTATATTTGTTCATTATCTATTATTAGTTTTTCCCGTTGTTACCGCCTTTCTTACTTCATCGATGGCCCTAGCTAACAAAAATGTCCTTTATTCATTCGTAACAACTAAAAGACAAACATTCCTTTCAAATTAATTGATTAAATTACGTCTATCAATAAGAATGTTAATGTATTTATGAAGTGTTGGATAAGAGTAAAGATTTTTTTTTCGAATTTAAAATAGAATATAGTCACTTACCAATTTAATCAATAAACCAGCAACATGGCACGAAAGTCTTCTTCAAATATTTACGTTTTGTTTTAAATTGCATAAAATGCTTAACTTCAAAATTATTCACTAACACAACGAGTAACAAAAATTAATATGATAAATGTCACACTTTTCTATCTACCTTAAAAACAAAAATGCATGATTATTATGTCAAGTTTACAAAAACGGTATTAACAAAACTGTATTAGCATAGAGTAGGTATATAAAGAAATAGAATATAAAAGTCAAGGTCGTTTTTTTTAAGTTATTTCACGTAACTTTTAGAAAAACAGTCTTAAAATAATAACTTAAACTCCAAATCCATAAATATATTTCAAATTGTAATTTTATATTGGGGATCATAGAAAAAAATTTAAATGCAAGTAATGAAATACAAAAATATTAAGAAATAAAATAAAGTTATTTCTCATAATTATTAGATCATTTACAGTAACAATTTAATCTAACTTGTAAACTGCCTAAAACGACAATTGTTCGTTGAGCTTTGTTATTGACTTAACGATTTAATGAGAGAAATGCCGAGTTAATTAAATAAAACGTGAACAAAGCTCGCGCTTTAAGACAATCTGCAAAAAAACGTACATAATATAAATAGGTAAATAACGCTTGCAACTGCTTTGAGAAACGTTTTTGTTATCTATATAACAGCGCACTCTAGTGAACGGAAGACACACAACAACGACTTAACAAAAATTTTCCTTTAAATATCTTCACACATACTTCAGTGAACTTTGAATGTGCGTAAGAAATATATTAAAAAATACATTCGAGTTTAATAAAACATTCAATTTATTTATACTTTGAAAAAAATCACTTTAAAGTGTAAAAATACGAGAAGCTTATTGTTGGTTTTACTTTAGTACATGATTTTACCGCTAGATGTAGCTTGGGACGCTCGTAGCGTGAGATTCAATATGGCGGCACCATTCGCCTCTGGAACAGGGCGGGGAGAACAGTTGTCGAATCGACTCTACCATATCTACTCGTATTTTTATCGAAACTGTAGTGTTCGTGACTTGAACGCGGGTGATATTGGAAATTTATTGTGTGTTTCTGTGTTTATATATGTTGTTTGTGTTATCAATAGTGCGTTATGGTGTTTTTGTGTGAATAACGTGAAACTACTTTAGGGTAACAATGTCTAGTAGTTGACATGTTTATCTGTGTCGTGTGTGAAGATTTTCCCTTGGCGTGAGGAGGTGCCGTGCGCTAGTGTGCGCGCTGGCGCCCGTGTGCGTGCCGCGGCCGTAGTAAGCGGCGATCCAATGATGGATTGCATTTCCATGGATGTATAGGTAAAGATCGCCACTCAATTTGTGCCTCTATTTAGCGAGTAATGGCCCAATGCCATACGCATACGAGTAGATCGGTTTCGGCCGCATTCCAGCACTGCTTTGTTTTATACATATCCAGTTCTTTATTCTGTAGCGCATGTATTTCAGTATTAAGATGTATCCTTGAATCGATAAGGATAATGTAGTTTTAGAGTGCGAATTCAACAAGCTTTTTAGTTTCTTTTGTGTTGTCTTATTGCTTTGATTTAAGGTTGTTCGGACCTTGTCGCCGCTTTGATCTTACGAAATGTTTTCCTCTACAGTTCATTGTGTAACATGACATTGGATATTGTTTAATTTCTAATTTATTAGTGTGTATTCTTATTCTTACTTATTCTTTTATTACTTTCTTTTCATATACATAATCCAATAAGAAATTCTTATTAGTTTCATATAACTTTTATGTTTACTTGTGTGATTATAATTTAATATGTTTGATATTGGAAGCTTTCTATCAAAGCTATTCCATACGCACGCATAAAGTCTAGTTTGTACAATTGAATCTTAATTCATTACATTCATGCGGAGTCGCGCGAGAATATGGTTCCCCTCGCTCTGTTCACTGCCTCTGGTTATCAGCTTACAAAATGACTGAAGCTGTCTCTCTCCTGCAGCCTGCTAATCCGTGTAACTCCGTCTCTTTTTGGCGCATATTGCGCGTTTTTCTTCTTTTGCCGCGTCATATGGCAGTGTTGAGGTACAAGCATAGTTGGCGAAGTGAAGTCGATTGGTTTTTACCAGCGCGTTTTAACAAAAACAATCGTGTTTAAAGTTTGACCGTGGGCTGTAATTGATTCCGAGTCCTTTGTTTAAGAGTTTGATACATAGTATAGAGAGGGTATGTTAAGGGCATCTGCGCATCTCAACCGCGCAGTTAGAGGTTTGGAGCTCGTCCGCGGCGCACGTGGCCCGTCCTCTTACCTCCAATCGGGTACCTTGCAATTATCCTAATAAGTTAACGGTAAATGCGATCAGTCAATCATGTAAACGACTTTGGAGGCTGTTTAAAACGTAAGTTAATTTTGTAATAATGCAAGAAACTAGATTTTTGTAAAGAGCCATCTCTTTTATGTACTTTAAACATATTGTAACATTTTCTTGTACGTATAAGTTATTTATCTAAAAGACAGGTTAGAATTATTGTATTTAGCATCAAATAAAACTCAAATAAAAACGATAAAGCAAGTTCCAGGAATTAATTACGTCTCAATTTTATTTAAAAACAGTGTCGTGACTAAAAAGAACTCATTTCGAAGTTTATAACAACTGGAGATTCATTTCAATGCAGTACATTGACGTTCAAAAGGCGCAATAAAAAGAGTTTATTAATATTCATCGCATGAGGAAAAGAGACGGCGATAACCTTTTAGTCCATTAAATTGCTCTTTATAATTACATCATTGACGTAGCATTGAGAAATAAACTTAAGATCTTCAACTTTAACAAATACCCTCATATAGCTACTACAAAACTCCGCTACGTTTCTGTGCATTAATATTATTTGGCTAGACTAAATGACCTATGGTACAGAGTTTTTTGACCTTACATGCATGTGGTAGAGTTTGCGAGTTTGTTTAAGCTTGGGTAAAATTATTGTAATTTTACCCAAGCTAAGATTTTGTAAACTGAACAATGAGATAAATATCTTAAATCTTTTGATAATGTTGGAATCAGTCCTTTTTTAGTTGATTTACATTCAATTAAAATTCCTGGTGTAAAAAACTCGTGATATCAATTGCCACAATTGCTAACATTGCACCAGAAAATTTAAACGCGGCGTTAGTACAGATATGTATTCTGTAGTGCGCTTTCACTGCTGGTATCTACAAACAATGAAAGTGCACGTCATGCAATTTTTGATGAAGAAGACGAACGTCCCACAAAAAGTCATTGCAAACTTGAAAGTATACATAGGTGATTAGAATTATGGGTATACGACGACGCATGTAGATTAATGGACGTAAATAAAGAAAAAAGGTTTGTCTGCCTGATTGAGATGCGTAATCTCTGTCCACAATTACATACTTAATTTAACGATATAATATCACGACTAGCGCTTTTGCCTACAGCCAACACCTTTTATAAAAAAAAAACTTGAGTGCAATTGTTAGTCATTTAATTTTCTCGTCTACAAAGTCACTACAAAGTAAGAGTTCATTGCACTCTTTGATATTGTGAAGATAATTGTAATATGTCTGTAATTGATTGCATAAGTCTCTTGATATTCTCCAGCTTTGTGGAATCGTATTACATTGTTAATGTTAGGATTACCGTGTAATTAACGCATATAGACTGTCTCGTTAACTCAGCGCAATACAATGTCTAATTAATCAAATAAACCTAGATGTTTCCACTACCTTACCAAAACAGTAAACTATTACTAGTGTACAATGTGATTAATGAATTGTTTTAATCAATTTATAGGCTTTTGGGTATGTACTTTTGACCAATACAGACTTGAAAGTTTTATCTGTACCAATTATTTCTTTTTAGCCGACTTCAAAAAGGAGGAAGTTATTAATTCGTCTGTATGTTCTTTTTTTATGTGTGTTACCGCGTAACTCCGCTTCTGGTGCTCCGATTTTTTAAGAAACGAAGAATGAGAAGGAATTCAAAATTAGGCTTTAGGTATTTTAGTCAAAGCCATTTCTTTTTATTACTTGCATAATAGAAGACAAAAGAAAGTACTTGGACATGTCAAATGTTGATAATGGACATTTTTTAAAACATAATGTCCCTTATAAAACTGTACAATATACTGGCAATAAAAAAAATGTTTATTTAAAGCTTAAAGCGGTAAAAATACTAAAGAAGGATTATTGAGTGTAAGAAGTCGCAAACTCTTGGCGGCAATTAAGCTCGGAGGCACGGACGAATTAGAAAAAGTTGATTACTCGCCAAATTTTTTTCCTCACGTTAAGAGCTACGAGTGTTTATTAGTTAAGAATTATTTAGTTGCTTAAACGCTTTGAAAGTATGTCTATAATATATTATTTCTTTCTCACTAATGTTGTAAATGCAAATGTTTAGATGGATGGATGTTTGGTTGAAGGTATCTCCAGAACGGTTGGACGGATCACGATGAACTTTGACATACACATAAAACATAATTTGGAAGAAAACATAGATACTTATGATATTTTTTTTTATTCTACGCGAACGGAGTCGCGGGCGACTGCTAGTGATATTATAAACGGAAAAGATTTCGTTGTTTGTTTGCATTGAAAAGGCACTCATTACTGAACCGATTGGAAAATACATTCACTGTTGATAACCTACCTAATATTTATTAGACGGTTGTTTTAAATTACGCGCGGATGAGTCGCGGGCAATTGCTAGTTTTAAATAAAAGGAATAATATAATCTTCGTGTAAATTAGCGTTTAAAATTAAATGCGAAATATACCTCTACTTAGCAACATAGAAGTCAATATCCTGTGAATGAACTCAACCAAAGCGATTCCTTATCGCTATTCAGATATCAAAATGTATGGCGGTGTTTCTGAAATGAAAAATATACATGGAAATGTGCCAAGTACTGTACAGTTCATTCAGTGTGAACCGCTCGTGCTCATATCAATATAGAGTTAAAGATGTCTTGTCCCCGATTGTGATACAACTTCCGTTCACTTGAATAACTTGGTACTATATTGTGCTATTATATTTAAATAAGAGCGTCTCAAATTACAAATATTTAGTGAATAGTTACTTAGTTAAAATCTTTCTTACTAATATTATAAATGCGAATGTTTGTATGGATTGTTAGGTAGAAAATCCGACACTGTGCCGGTGTACTGGAGAAACACCAGCCTTAATAAAATGTCGACGTTTATGTCCCCTCACTAATCATTCTGACACTGGACTTTTAAACGAATCTGCGCCATTCGTGCCAAAGGATTCTAACTAATAATATCTTAAAGGATGGATGGATAGGTGTTTGTTTGAAGGTATCTCCAGAACAGATGCATGGATCTCGCTTAAAATTTGGCCCAAATATAGAACATAGTCTGAAAGAACACATAGGCTTCTAATTATTATTTTTTTTGTAATTCCGCGCGGACGAAGTCGAGGGCGACAGCTAGTAATTGCATAAAGTTAGTTTTATTTTAGAAATTTTTTGGCTATGTAAAATATGAGGCAAGGGAATGATTGAATTACAGAACTATTTTAGGATAGACAAATTTTATAAAAAGTACTCAGTTCAGAAATAGATTTCTTTCGAATTGGATTATTTTCATCTTAAATGAGGAAAACGTTAAAAATGTCTATTCTTAGAAATTGAGAAAACTTGTTTACTAAATGATATGAAAGCTTTTATATTTCAAGTAAAGCAATTTGTGTTAAGATTACTTAAAATGTTATCAAAGGGCGACATTAATAAGATATTTTTGTAGCGAAATAATTCTAGCTTAAGATTTAGATTTGACGAAAGCGTGGATGGCTCAGGGGTTAAGCACTTGGGAGAGCGTTGGTGGCTCGGGGTAAAGCACTTGACTTGTAATTTGCAGGACCTGGGTTCGAATCTCGCCATGTACCAATGTGTTCTTCGAATTTCGATTTACATACGTACATTTATCCGACGTTCTTACGGTGAAGGAACACATCGTGATGCAACCTGCACACATCTGCGATGTAATTTTAAATATATGTTTGAAGTCGACTAACCCAAACTGGACCAGTTTGGTTGACTATGGCCTAGTGACCCCAACTTAGCACCGAGCCTCTCGGTTGGGACGAATAGTTAGCTCATGATGATGATGACTTTGATTTAATATTGCTTAGTTTGTTTTGTATGTCATTGTAGTTTGCATAGTACATAATCAATCCTTATTCAGTTTATCAATTTGTCAGTTTGTATTACGTAGTATAACATTGAACGTACGCTATCACATAATAGAATTTGCGTTGCGAATGGATTTAGTGTCTATCAGTGGTTACATTTGATTCACTGTAGTCGACGCA